GGATCATCTGGTATTTCTATTTTTAATTTTTTGAGAAATCTCCATACTGTTTTCCATAGTGGCTGCACCAGTTTGCATTCCCACCAGCAGTGTATGTGGGTTCCCTTTTCTCCACATCCTCTCCAACACTTGTTATTTCTTGTCTTGTTAATTGTAGCCATTCTGGCGGGTGTGAGGTGATATCTCATTGTAGTTTTGATTTGCATTTCCCTAATAATTAGTGATGTTGAACACCTGTTGTCCATCGTTGCCTGTATATCTTCTTTGGAAAAACGTCTGTTCACATCCTTTGCCCGTTTTTTGATGGGGTTGTTCATTTTTTTTTCTTGAGTTGTATGAGTTCTTTATATATTTTCAAAATTAACTTCTTGTCGGATATATGATTTGCAAATATTTTCTCACAGTTAGTGGATTGTCTTTTCATTTTGTTGACGGTTTCCTTTGCTGTCCAGAAACTTTTTAGTCTGACGTAGTCCCCTTTGTTAATTAATTAATTTTTTTTTTTTTTTTTTTGCTTAAGGAAGATTTGCCCTGAGCTAACATTTGTGCCAATCTTCCTCTATTTTGTATCTGGGTTGCCACCAGAGCATGGCCGCAGATCAGTGGTGTACGTCCGTGCCTGGGAACAAAAACCAGGCCACCAAAGAGGAGCACACTGAACTTAACAACTAGGCCACAGCACCGGCCCCTTGTTAATTTTTTCTTTAGTTTCCCTTGCCTGAGTAGGCATGGAATTCGAAAAGAAATTAAGACCGATATCAAAGACCGTAATCCTTATATTTTCTCCTGGGAGTTTTATGGTTTCGGGTCTAACCTTCATGTCTTTAATCCATTTTGAGTTAATTTTTTTATATGATGTAAGATAATGGTCTACTTTCATTCTTTTTCATGTGGCTGTCCAGTTTTCCCAACACCATTTATTGAAGAGTCTTTCCTTTCTCCATTGTATGTTCTTGGCTCCTATAATGAAGATTAGCTGTCCGTAGATGTCTGGTTTTATTTCTGGTCTTTCAATTCTGTTCTGTTGATCCGTGTGTCTCTTTTTGTGGCAGTACCATGCTGTTTTGATTACTATAGCTTTGTAGTATATTTTGAATTCAGGGAGTGTGATACCTCCAACTTTATTCTTTCTTCTCAGGATTGCTTGGCTATTTGGGGTCTTTTGTTGGTCCATATAAATTTTAACATTCTTTGTTCTATTTCAATGAAATTGTCATTTGGATTCTGATTGGTATTGTATTGAATCTGTAGATTGCTTTAGTTAATATGGACATTTTAACTACGTTTGTTCTTTCAGTCCATGAGCATGGACTATCTTTCCATTTCTTCATGTCCTTCGATTTCTTTCAATAATGTCTTATAGTTTTCAGTGTACAGGTATTTCACCTCCTTGGTTAAATTTATTCCTAGGTATTTTATTCTTTTTGTTGCAATTGTAAATGGGATGGTAGTCTTGATTTCTCTTTCTGTTAGTTCATTATTAGTGTATAAAAATGCAACTGAATTTTGTATGTTGATTTTGTACTCAGGAACTTTACTGTATTCATTGATAATTTCCAATAGTTCTGGTGAATTCTTTAGAGTTTTATATTTATAGAATCATGCCATCCACAAATAGTGACAGTTTTACTTCTTACTTTCCAATTTTTTCCCTTTTATTTCTTTTTCTTGACTAATTGCTCTGGTTAAAACCTCCAGGACCATGTTGAATAAGAGTGGCAAGAGTGGGCATGCTTGTCTTGTTCCGGTTTTTAGAGGACTAGCTTTCAGTTTTTCACTGTTGAGTATGCTGTTGGCTGTGGATTTGACATATGTGGACTTTTATGTTGAGGAAGAGAATGCATCTGGAGATGGACCTGGAATGCTGATCTGTGAATTTGACCTCCTAGTGTGACGCCTGAGACTCAGTCTCCTCCATGCCTTGGGGACCATAAAGCCACCTGCCTTACAGGGCTATGGGGCAGACATGTGGAGTGAGCAGCAGAGCCTGGCACACGGGTGCCTGATCAATGGAAGCTGCAAGTGCTCAATGATTACAAAGGCCATCAGCCTCACGATTGTACTGTGTGCTCTGTGTACTCATGAGGTTTCCTCAAGGCCTCCCCGTCCTGGACAACAGGTACCTAGTATCAGGAGGCTCTGCCTGAATTACAGGCTTGTCTGTCCCTGCCCTTCATATCCTCATTAGGGTGACTGTATGGGAGGGCGTGACACATCCAAAACAATGGGGGCATAAAGACAGTTTATCCAGGGCCACTGTGTGACCAACACTCTGACCATCCTGCTCTCTGTGCCCCCCAACACCACCTGATTCTCTGGCAGTCCTGGGCAGAAAGTTGCTGTCCAAAGGACAAGACATTCAACTGAGGCCAATAAGAGGTGAGAAACGGATCCGGGAGTTCCCAGGGTACCTGTCGGTCTTGTCTTCCCAGTCTGTTGAGTGGCCTCAAAATGGCTCTCTCAGTCTCCTGGAGACCCAGCGACTCCAGTTCCCCCAAGTCCAGTCCTCATCCAGACTTTCAAAGCTGACTCAAGCCCACTGCCCCTCACCCTCCTGCACAGGACTTTGCAATTGTTTTGGTCCTGCTGCCACGTCACCTTGGATGCAGTGCCAAGCCAGCCAAAGTCTGCCAGGAGGTCTTCCCAGAAAGTCCTGCTCCAGCCTGGGGCAGTGTCCCCAAGACCCTCAAAGCAGTCTCCACACTGCTGGCCTGGTCTGTCAGCTCTCTGTCTTTCTACTCCTCCTCTTGGTCATGAGCATAGTGGAGCAGGGGCCCACCATCGTCTTCCCCCGCAGGCTGCAAGTGCCTAGCCCAGCATCTAGCACATGGTCCGACCAGTGGGTGTAGAACAGAATCCAAGGCCTGACCAAGGCAAGATGCATGGAAGGCCAGGTAAACTGAGGACAGCCCAGCTAGACCCCAGCAACCCATACCCTCTGGCCCCAGGGCTGGCAGGAGAGTGGGGATGTGGGAATTCAGAAGGGGAGGAGCAGATTTCACAAGCCAAGCAGGAACTGCAAACATTGAAAGCTAATACCAAGAGGACACATCCCTGGGGAGCCCATCACTGGGTGACCATCTGTGAGTCAGGGATGTCCAGAGGCACCCTAGGAAGAAGCCAGTCTTCTTACTGTTGGGGAGTGAATGATGGAGAGAACTGGGGGCATAAAGGGGTGTGGAGTGCCTCCTGCAGGCCCTGCTTCAGCTGGGGAAAAGAGTTTTCCAGCTGTTTCCAGAATGAGAGCTTGCCTCACATACCCCTGCAATGGGTGAGAAGGCCTGACCCCTACCCCGTCCCCACCCTCTGGGCTCCTGAGCCTTCCCATTTGAGTGGGTTTTGGCCTCAGAGTTCCCATCAGCTTCACTGACTTAAAAACTCAGCCTCAAATCCCACCCCTTTTCTTGTTGAAGAAGGAGGGTGCTGAGGCCAGTGGGCAGTGGCCCTGCCCTGGTATGGTGTGGTCACCCCCCTGCTTGGAGTGGGCAAGAGACTGAGCAAGAGGGAGGGCCTGGTAGCCACAATTTCAGCCGGGAGGTGGCATGCACTGGCCCGAGGTGGTGCTGAGGTTGGCATCTTTCCTTGAGGGACCACAGAGTCAGTGTTGGGAGGGATGGGGCTGGAGCAGGGGGGACCTGGCCCAGGGAGAGGGAGGAGGCCGGCAAAGGGGGAGGCCTGAGAATCCATTTCTTGTGGTCCTTAGCAGGCCTGTGAGGGTGTAAAGAAATTACATCATCCCCACTTGGTTTCCATCCCCTTGTCTTCTAGAAAGTGTTTGAGCATCTGATGTTCAAGGAAAAATGATAATGAGGAGGAGGAAGCAGGCTCCCTCCTCTGGGGACAGAGTGACATCCTATGCTAAGCCACCCTAGTACCCTGAGCTTCCTGGCAGCTCAGTCAACAAGGGCAAGTGCCCACCCCACATTTCTCTGAGTCAGGGAAGTGGACTCAGGCACCAGGAGATTCATCACCTGGGTGGCCTCCAGAGCTAGGAGGTCAAGGACCAGTTGGAACGAACTTAGGAAGGGTCTCTTTGCAACGAACTGGCTGGTTGGGTGATTAGGGAGCTCTGAAAACAACAATGCTGCCTCCCCACCCCCAGATTCAAACCTGCAAAGGCCACAACCAAACCGAAACCAAAGAAGTTGAGCCAGCAGCCAGCCAGGTGAGGGTGCTCAGCATCACTGCCCACAGCCTCCAGGTAGGGAGAGGAGGGGTCAGGGGAATCAGCTCCAGGCAACTACTGAGATCAGGTGCCCTGGTGCTGGGTGTGTGTGTGTGTGTGTTTGGTGCATCTGTTAATGTGTATGTGTATGTGGTCTTGTGGGTGTATAAATGTGTGTGTGCATGTGTTTGTGTGCCGTATGTAAGCATGTGGGTAGGGTCTGAATGTGTGAGTGGCTGTAAGTATGTGATCTGTGTCTGTGTGTGTTGAGTGTACTTCTGTTAAGTGAGGAACACAGAGAACCTCATCCCTCCCCCCCATCCCTCTGACCATTGTGACCTCCCTGAGAGTGCCAGTACAAACTTGGGAGGTCAAGGTCACTCAGGAGGAGGCAGGTGAGATATGGAAAGGCAAGACTGTGTTCTGGGGACAAAGCTGTGACCACATTAGGGAGTGTGAGCCTGATATGACAGGTGGAGGGAGGATCAAGTCCAAAGACCCCCTGCTTCTTCCTCAGAGCCTGTACAATGCTGTGGAGTCAGGCGCCCCCACCCTTGGTAAGCACCTGGAGAGGGCAGCAGGGAGAGGACTCTGTGGCAACTCCTGCACCTGACCTTCCCTGGCCCCTCCCTGCACCCTTTAGCAAAACAGTGATACCAACACCTAGGCTCAGGGCAGAGTACAAAGGCCAGTCTCAGCTCCCTTCATAAAGAGGGCCCAGGCTGGTCGAGCCCTCAGGGTTGGTAAGAGTGCCCCGCCTGGCCTGGTCTGAGGTGCCTGGTGTGGTGAGGGGTGCCAGTGTTTCCAGAGGAGCCCAGTACCCACTGAGGCAGACATGGGGCTGCTCATCGGGGAGACACTGGGGCGCCTGGCCATAGCTGTGGCCATCTTCCTTTTCCTGGTGGACCTGATGCATCGGCAACAACACTGGGCCACACGCTACCCAGCAGGCCCCATGCCCCTGCCTGGGCTGGGCAACCTGCTGCAGGTGGATTTCCAGGACCCCCGTTGCTGCTTTACTCGGGTGAGGAAGGTAGGGGGTGGGCACAGAGGTTCTGGGCACACACCTAGCGGCAGAGAGTGGGTGGTGGGGAAGCCACAGGCTGGACAGGGAGCTGGGTGGAAAGGGGCAGGCAGGTTTGAGAGGCCTCCTGGGGGAGGGCATCTTTGAAGGGCCTGGAGGATTGTTCGAATTTTCCAATCAAAGGTCAGAGACAAGAAAGGCCTGAAAAGGGGTGGGACCTGGTAGAAGATTTCAGTTCCAGTTGGACAGAGCTTAAGTTATGTGAGCTTGAGTCCCTTCTGAGGACATCAGGAGGAAAGGTCTTGAGATGTGGGGAGGGGAGTCTGGTCATGAGCCTCATTTAAATCAGGAAGTTGAGGTTGAGAGGGGACAGTGACAAGCTTTAAACTGTTTGCTGCTGTGAGACCTTGGGCCTCACTGCTCACCTCTGTGAACCTCAGTGTCTTTACCTGTGAAATGGGATGCTAACTCGGCCTACTCACAATGTTGGTGACTTTGCAAAGTTGTAGCTGGGTGGTCTGATCCAACGTGAGGTACTCCACCATAGAAGACGTGACTTCTAGCATTATGAGGCCCGATAAAGTCCTTGCACCCTCTTGCTGCTGGAGGCCCATGGGTCCTTCAAAGCTATCGCCAGGAGACTGTGGTCAGCAGCTGGCAGGGGGTGGGTTTGCAGAATGTCTTTGACCCTTGGCCTGCAGCTGCTGCGCCGCTTCGGGGACGTGTTCAGCCTGCAGCTGGGCTGGACGCCAGTGGTCGTGCTCAACGGGCTGGCGGCCATGCGGGAGGCGCTGGTGGACCACGGGGAGGACACCTCTGACCGCCCACCTGTCCCCTTCATCGAGCACCTGGGCTTTGGGCCACGCTCCGAAGGTAAGCAGAGAAGGGGGCACTGTGGCCTGGCGGCGACTGGGCCCGCAGTCTCACGAGACCCGACAGGGCCAAGCGGAGGGAGGGTGGTGGACCTGCGATGCAGGGGAGAGTCAGCAAATTTGAAGGGGCAGCAGGTGGAGTAAGGAGCCTGTGCCAAAAGTGGGGAGGTGGATGTGGGCAGAGCGGAGAGCAGGGCCTTACAGAGAGTGGGCGGACCCTGAGGGGGTACAGTGAGCAGGAAGGGGATGTCCAAGTGGCTGTAATAAGGAGGATGAAGTCACTGTGGGCGGGGCAGGGGGCGGCTTGGGATCTTCTCTGAAGAGGAAGGGGGTCACGGTGGGCAGAGCCAAGAGTGGGGCCAAGCCCTGCCCCCAGTGGGGAAAGCTGGCCAGCAATATGGGCAGGCAGAAAGCTGTACATGTCCCCAGCCGGGCAGGTGGTAGTGGGCGGGACTTAGTTTTGTTGGTTAAGGGATTGAGGTTAGTGTGGGCAAGGGAGGGGACTTGGTTTATGTGCAGAGTAAGGGGCGGGGCCTGTACGGAATGGGGGCGGGACTGCGTGTGCAGGGGCGGGGCCAGGGCATGTCCCTGACATGGACGAAAGGACCGACCAGCCCGTGAGCAGGTATCCGCTAAGAGGCGGGGCCAAGGCGCACCCGAGCCTTGCCCAAGTCCACCTGCCCCTAGGGTTGGTCATGGCCCGCTATGGGCAGTCGTGGCGAGAGCAGAGGCGCTTCTCCGTGTCCACCTTGCGCAACTTCGGCCTGGGCAAGAAGTCACTGGAGCAGTGGGTGACTGAGGAGGCCTCGTACCTCTGTACCGCCTTCACAGACCAGGCCGGTGAGTGCTGGGCTGAGGGACAGGAGACAGGGATGAAGGCGAGGGAAGAGGAGATGGAGGTGACCCCCTGACACGCATCGACCCCTCCCAGGACGCCCCTTTAGCCCCAACGCCCTGCTGAATAAAGCAGTGAGCAATGTGATTGCCTCCCTCACCTTCGGGCGCCGCTTCGAGTACAACGACCTGCGCTTCCTCAAGCTATTGGACCTAACAGAGGACTTACTGAAGGAGGAGAGCGGCTTCGTGCCCGAGGTGTGAGGGTGGAGGGGGCCAAGAAGCCTTGAAGATGAGCTCCATGGAAGAGGCTTCCACCCTGCAATGGGGCCTCCACGGGAGAAGATTTGGATAGAGGGGTGTTGAGTCAGCAGACCCCAGGAGAGGGCTAAGGAACCTGTATTGCTTTCCTTAGAAGCAACTAGAACCCATGCGATGTAGATTTTAGGTTTATCCTCCTGGCATTCACTCCAGGTGAGGGTTTAGGCCCAAAGTAAGGGAGGAACCAGGACATACTGGGGATACCCTGGAAGCAATGGGGACCAGACTGGTGAAGGTGAACACCTGAGTACAGGGAAGACCTAGGACCGCACATCTGTGGCCAACGCAGGTGCTGAACGCGATTCTGGTGCTCCTGCACATCCCGGGTGTAGTCTCCAAGGCCTTTCCAGGGCATAGGACCTTCCTGGCACTGATGGATGAACTGATTGCTGAGCACAGGATGACCCGGGACCCGGCCCAGCCACCCCGCGACTTCACTGACGCCTTCCTGGACGAGGTGGAGAAGGTGAGCTGCCAGGGACAGGGACATGGGTTCTGGGTTTAGGGTCCCATGATGCTTCCAGGCAAGGTGGGGCCTGTGTGTCACCCAGTGATCAGTCACCTGGGGTGATGGGTGCAGAGTGGGAGGCCATTTGGGGTTTCCTTCCTCTGCCCCTGAGCCCACCCTCTCTGTATGGCCCAGGTCAAGGGGAACCCCGAGACCAGCTTCAATGATGAGAACCTCTGCCTGGTGTTGGCTGATTTGTTCCCTGCCGGGATGGTGACCACCTCAACCACGTTGGCCTGGGCCCTCCTGCTCATGATCCTGCACCAGGACGTGCAGCGTGAGCACAGCCTGGAGGCCCAGTGGGATGGGCCAGGGGGGAGAGGGACAGACTGGGGGCCCTGAACTTGGGTTGGCCACCAGGAGCTCTAAGCACAGGCTGGGCCCTGGCTCAGAGGTCAGAGTGACCTCCTCCTCCCTGTGGGCACAGCCCCTGTACAGGAGTCAGGAGGATGTCAGGGCCCAGCCCCCTGGCTTCTGGCCACTGTGGGAACACTTGTCTGTCCAGGCCGTGTCCAACAGGAGATCGATGAGGTGATAGGGCAGGCGTGGCGACCAGAGATGGGGGACCAGGCCCACATGCCCTTCACCATGGCTGTGGTCCATGAGGTGCAACGCTTTGGGAACATCATCCCACTGGGTGCACCCCACATGACATCCCATGACATTGAAGTGCAGAGCTTCCTCATCCCCAAGGTAGGCTTATGGCCCTCCTCACCTCAGCTCAGCTCCACTTGCCCCCTGGTAGCCCCAGCATGGCCATTGCCAGGTGGGGTGAGGACTGGAACCCAAGCCAACTAATCCTCATTTGGACGAGCACCAACTGTCCGAGCCTAGGTGGGTTTGGGGATGAAGCTGAGGCAGGGCTGGCCCTGTCCATTCAGATCCCAAGTCTGTGGGGGAGGACAAACTAAAATGTCCCACAGTGTCTTGGAGGAGCTGTGCATGCAGGGACAGGTGGGAGTGAGGGCGCCCAGGAGAGGCCTGTCCTGTGGCCCTGCCATGGGGACAGGGGAGGTGCCGAGAAGCTTCTTGGACTGAGATTGACTTGAAAGAGTCCAGGTGTGTGCCAGGCAGAGAGGTGGCCCATGTGTGTTTGGTGGCAGGGGTCCGGGCAACCCAAGCCCAGACACTATCCATGCCAGGCATCTCCTGCCAGGGGACAATGCTCATCACCAACCTGTCCTCGGTGCTGAAGGACGAGACCGTCTGGAAGAAGCCCTTCCGCTTCCACCCCGAGCACTTCCTGGACGCCCAGGGCCGCTTCGTCAAGCAGGAGGCCTTCATGCCCTTCTCAGCAGGTGCCTGTGGGGACCCTGGCTCTCTGACCTTTCCTGAGGGAGTCTTGGAGACTTGGCGCCCTGGGCCCCAGGCTCACTGACCCCCCATACCCACCCACAGGCCGCCGCTCATGCCTCGGGGAGCCCCTGGCCCGCATGGAGCTCTTCCTCTTCTTCACCTGCCTCCTGCAGCTCTTCAGCTTCTCGGTGCCTGCTGGGCAGCCCTGCCCCAGTGATCATGGTGTCTTTGGTTTCCTGGTGACCCCTTCCCCCTACCAGCTCTGTGCTGTGCCCCGCTAGAGGGGCAGCACCTAGTCCCCAAACCCCTCCTCAGCAGGGGGCCTGATGTACAATAAACCAGTGTGTTGGCCCCAACCTTGGTGAGTCCCACCTGGGGCCCCTGATCAGTGCCTGGCAGATATGTAGCCTCAGCAGCCTCCCAGGGCCAGCTCCTACCCCTCCTGATCAGCCTTACCTGGCATTTGACCCCCTTTGAGAGATGGGCATACTGAGGCTCAGAAGGTGACGACTTACTCTTAGTCACCCACGGAGACCCTACACTGGCTACTCAAATTAGTGACAAAATCAATACATAGGTCCTAGCTTCTGCTGGGAGTCCAAATGTCCTCTTAGAATAGGATTATTCTGAGAGATTCTCTTAGAATAGGATTCTGAGAGACATCAGTGAGGTCCTGGTGGGGATGGGGAGGGCGCAGTCAGCCTGAATTCCCACATCCCAGACCTGACTTCAGCCACCCCATCATGGGCCAGCAACTCAGCCAGCACCATCAAGCCTCCTACACTGCTTCACCTACGACATCCTGATAGGTGGGGATCTCAGGGATGGCTGGAGAAGGATGTGCCAGGTTAACACCCAGGCTCAGTCCTCAGGTGCCAGAGCCCTCCCTGGGAAGCCTGATGGCAGTCCAGGCGTGACCACTTCTCTGAACCTCTCCGTCACCCCAGGATTGGATGGTCCCCATTTCCCACCCCCTCCTGGATGCTCCTGTCCAGGCACCTGCCCAGTAGAAGTTGGTCACAGCTAGGCTGGAGCTGGAGGAGGAAAATCCTCTGGGCTCCAACCCAGGGCACTGTCCTCTGAGTGGCTGGTTCAGCTGGGGGTCTCAGGAGGCTTGGCCAGGGGCAGAGAATGAGCACTGTGGGGCGAAGGCGTGTCCTAGTGACAGACTTTGGGGTCAACTTTGGACTCATGTGGCAGTGGGATGGCCAGAGGAGGAGGCCATGTGGAGTTCTTGGAGGAGGACACTACGGCTCTTGGCCTTGCTCTGCCAGGACACTCTGTGACCTTGGGCCAGTACCCCCCTGACCTGGGCTTCTGTTTCCCCTTGAGCCAATGAGATGTTTGTACCAGATGGCCACTGGGTCCTATCTTCCTTCTCTGAATCAGGGGCTGTGACCTTCTTAGCCTGGAGCCTCAGCCAAACACAGGGACTGCCACCCTCCACCTGTCCCCACCCCTACAATTTGCTGGCTCTGGACTGAGCACACGGGCAGTGCCCAAGGGTTTCTAACGACTGTTGCTTGCCTGAGTCTTAGGCAGACCCGCCCAGTGCATTTAAGTAACAGTTTGGGGACCACAGGTACTCAGAGCAGAGGCAGCCCCTCCAGGCCTCTGATGCCAGAGGACCCTCACCCAACAGCATCCCTGACGGGGTTCCACCAGCATCTTCCAGGTGCCCTCATGACAGGGAGCTCCCAGCTCTCAGCACTCAGGGAACTGGGTGTGTCCCTTGGCACTGAGTCGGAAAGGCAGCGGGGCCCCCTTCAGCCTCTCCAGAATATCCACTGTCGTGTCAGGGCTTGGTGGCAGGAGGGGGCTGTTCCTGTAGCTTGTCAGGACATAGAGTGTGGATCGGGCCACACTGGGTTTGTGAAGATGTGAGGCCCCTGAGAGGAGACTGGTGGGCCTGCAGAATCAGGAACTTGGGGAACTCATTAGATGCTTTGTCATTCGTGGTCTGTCTTGGGGATGTCAGAGGCTGGGAACTGGCCCCACCAGAGCTTCGTCAGTAGTTGGCAGATCCAGCCCCAGGGCCTTTCCTTCTTCCTCTCTATGTCAGGGCCTCTAAAAAGCACAAACAGGCATGCCCTGTGGGTCCCTTGCTGGGAGGAGCTTACCCAGGGCCAGGCGATCCCCTGATGTCCAGAGAGCAGGTTAGCATTGATAAAAGGCTAGGTATTCCTCTAGCCCAAGGGGAGTGACCTCAAGTTCCCGCCAACCAGTAAGGAAGCAAGAGGCAGGGGAGGATCATTCAGGAAGGTCAGGGCATCTGGCTTTCTGGGCTTCCACCGTACTCTGAAGGATGTGACTCCATTTTTTGATGTTTCACTGCTGACACCCTATAAGCATCACTTCTGTCTCTTCCCTTGTCCCCAATAACTGGACCAGTTTGTAAAATCCCTGGTTCTGTCTCCTTTGCTCCCTACTAGAGTTTGAAACCAGCAAGCTTCTACCCACACAAGTGAGTGCTCACCCAAGCCCATCACCAAACCACAGTAAATATCCAGGCCAGTCTCCTTTCCTGGCTCTCTCAAGCCATTTTGGTCCTGCTTGAGAGGCCAGTCCTGTTTTGCCCAGGGACCTCAATGATGCAAGTAGTAAAGCCTTTCATACTATCCTGGTGAGGGAATGCTGTCATCTGTCCACATCCAAATCGAAATTTGATTGGGAGGTCTCTCCTGCTTTTGCTTGGTGACTGTAACAAGAACCTAAAGACTTGAAGAGTTAAGAGAAAATCCTCAGTTTCAGGAATTCAAGGAGCATCAGACTTGTCAACACCAACTCTTGAGGTAGAATACAATGAGAAAGGTGTTCACAATTCCACGGGAAAGTTATTTGCAATCTAGAATTCTATACCCAGCTGAACTATTAGTCAAGTATGAGTGGAGACATTTTTAAGACATCTAAGATCTCAAAAGACTCCTCAGGAGAGCAGTTATATCAGCAAAAATGGCAGAGCTCTCAAAAGTTGCCACTCCAAAAGAGCAATGAAAAAACTGGCAAAATGATCAGATACTTTTTCAGAAGTCTGGGAATTAACCAAAAGCTTACAGCTAGTCAGGAGCATTATTTCAGGACACATAATGAATCTCAAAATGAACAGCAAGCTCTGTGGCATTTCCACTTCCCTGGTCCTATCCTCCACTCTCCAGCTCAGCAGGAGCCTTGAAAACAACTCCCAGCACCCCCAGGGAAGCCTCCTGAGGGAGCACAGGACATGGAGCATTTTCAAAGCCTCAATCCCAAAGAATTGTCACTATTTCCCTGGCTGGGGGTTCCCTGGAAGACTCCGTGAACAGGGCTGTCTGTGTGACCTGAGAGGTCCCCTCGTGCAAACAGCTTTTTTTCAGGAGAGTTTGTTGAAGGTAATCAGAGGCCACTGTTGAAAATCAAAGCTTCCTGAGGGAATGGATAATAGTTGGGGCAAATGATACACTAACCACACAGCTTAAAAGGAGAAGCTGGGGCATGAGGTGTCCACAGGGGCCTTGAAGAGCCCTGACATATTCCTGGGAATCTAAGAGGCCATGCATGTGTGTAGGGTTGTGTGCTGCTGTGTGTATTCTCAAGAAAGACCTGCAGGGGCCCTAAGCTCTCACCTCTTACTGACCTTAAGCTTCTGTGCAAACAGAAAGTTTGCAGAGGAAAAGGCACAGGAAAAGTCTTAAACTCTAAAGCCAGTGCCTGGCTACATGTTGAAAGTATCCTTCAACACACACAGGGAGCACTTCTGTGCAGCAAAGGCTGGGACAGTGATTGTTCCAGACAATTAAAGAAATCTCTAACCAATCATTAGCTGACCACCAAGCAGAGTAGAGACTTCAGTGGCCACAAACAACAAGGTATAGAGACTTTATAGAATTAGTTCAGAAAAATCACTAAGCAAAGAAACAACTACAACACAAACCCATAACGCCAATCCTAGGGAGCAAAGAGAATCTGGTTTCCAGTTGCCACATTATCTCACCTGAAATGTTCAATTTTCAACCAAAAAATTGCAAGATATTCAAAGGAACAAGAAAGTGTGGCCCATCCAGAGAAAGAAGGAATCAATGGAAACTGTCCCTAATGGTGGAGTTGTTGGACACAGACTGCGTATCAGCTAATTCAATATGTTCACAGAACTAAAATAAACCATGTCTAAAGAAGTAAGGGAAAGTGGGAGAGTGATGTGTCACCAGTTAGAGAATCTCCATAATGATGCCCCCCCCCCACCAGAGGCTCCGTTGTGCCTGTGCTCTGGCCCCAGTGGCTCTGGCTTGCCCATGCCATGGTCCCAGCTGCTTCAGCTCTACCACACCCAAGTTCCAGCTGCTTCAGCTTGGCAGTGCTCAGGCTCCAGCTGCTTCAGCGCCAGCTACTTCAGCCCAGCCATGCTCTGGCTCCAGTTTCTTTGGTCCAGCTGCACTCCAGCTCCTGCTCCAGCTTCTTTTGCCCAGCCACACTCCAGCTAATGCTGCTTCAACCCAGCTGCACTCCAGCTCCAGCTGCTTTGACCCAGCTGAACTCCAGCTCCAGCGGTTCCAATGCTCCAGCACCAGCTGCCTCCACTCAGCGGCACTGAGGCTTGGCTGTGCACCAGCTCTGGCTTCTTTGGACTAGCCACACCCAAGCTCCAGCTGCTTCAGCCTAGCTGTGCTCCAGGCCCAGCTGTTCCCCCACTCCAGCTCCAGCTGTTCTCACACTCCAGCCCCAGCAGCCTCTGCTTGGCTGCACTTCAGCTCAACTATGCTTCAGCTCAGCTGCAGGCTTACCAGAGCACCCACAGATTGAGATGGGCTCAGAATACACAGCTCTTGACCCCCACCCAGTGATGGCAGGAGGAACCTGCGACCAGATATTTTCACTATGAGGAAAAATAAGCCAACACCATCAGGCACTATGCAAAAATATATTAAATCTCCAGAACAGAAGGAAAATGACAAGTACACAGAAATAAACCCTGAAAGCACAGAAATGTATAACCTTAATTACAGAGAATTCAAAATAGCTGTCATAAAAAAGCTCAACAAAATACAGGAAAATACAGATACACAGTTCAATGAAATCAGGAATTTCTTCACAAAAGAGATTGAAACTATAAAGGAAAATCAATCAGAAATCTTGGAGATCAAAAACACAATGGCGATGATAAAGACAAATCTGGAAGCCTTAAGCATCAGAGCTGACAATATGGAGGAAAGAATTAGCAATATTGAGGACAGCAATGCAGAAATGCTCCAGATGGAGGAGGAAAGAGAACTAAGATTAAAAAGAAATGAAGAAACTCTCTGAGAAATATCCAACTCAATT